TTTTTTGATAACCATTAAACCTATAATAATTAAAGAACATAATTCCCAATATCAACACATATATAATAACTTCTCCCATAATTTCAGAAAATAAAACCAATACAAATGTCGAGTTAATTTAGAAATGAACTAAGAACATCAGTAGCCTACTCAAAATAGTTGATATCAACATCCAAAAGTATGAACTACTACTCCAAAAACAAGTAATCAAAATAGTACAAAATAATTTATCCACATCGATTTTGATTAATTTGATTAACAATTTTGTTATCCCAAAAATAATCAACTCCCTGCACATCACAAAAATAAATGATGGTATAGTTAATATATTAAAGTACGCAAATGAAAAATGATATGAAAAAACAAGTATAGCATACATTTATTTTGCTTATAGCTAATCCTCTTTGATGAACCTGATTGGCCATGCAATTGTACTTCCTAATGCATCTTCAAGAAATAGCTCACGTGTGGGACGATATAAGGTGACATTGTCAATCACTTCATTAACCCAAACTCTCCAACATTCATCGCCAAGAGGTACATGATGCACTAGATCACAAGGAATATTGTAGATGCGATTTCATTATTTGCAACTACATCAGCTTCCCCAAACCAACGTAACAATTTACTTTTTTTACTCTGAATGCTATCTAAACCATTCGAGCTTCTATCACTATGCTGTAAAATTCATATGAAAGTACAATTTGTTACTTTGAATATAGAAAAAATCATCTAAAAAGTGTATACGAACATATTTAAAAAATTTCTAAACTTAAGGGGATAAGACAACCTTGATAGGTGTACCCAATCTTTATCCATGATGCTATACCAACACTATTAAGATATAACCTGCTATAATATGATTAAGAAAAAAATTGGAAAAAAAAGATTGGAAAAGTATTACAGTAAGAAAGACTTGCTTAATAGTTCAAAACTGAAAAGAGCATCAACTTTTGTACAATGAGACCTTTAAAGATTTCTATATATATTTTTAAGTGGAGTGATTTTTTTTTTTTTTGAATTGCAATCATTTACACAGCACAACATAGAATAAGTATAGAACAACCAACTTTTTGACACTTCTCTTCCTGTCTTGAAATGAATTGAAAGGCAAAGGTTCTACCTATATTATTCTAAGCAGCAACAAAGGTTCTCTAGGAAAGAGACAACAGAGAAATGGCAACGACTCAAAATAACTTCTCATGAGGACAGTCTGAACATTATACTTAAACATAGAAAATCCAGAGAGGAAAATTTCTTCCTCCTTGTTTTTCTCTTTCTCACATTACAAGCAATCAAAAAACTAACCTATAATCACTAAAATCAAACTCCATACCATTACCATACATTCAAATCACATTCAAACCATACAGAATATACGACTCTTCTCAATGTCATTAAGTCAAACACATTGCCCACACATTTAAACCTATGCTCAAATATTGCATAAACAGAGGAAGAAAAAATTTATTTTGCATAAAAATATATATTGATGGAACGTACAAGACAAGAGGCCAGAAGTGGTTATAGATGAGACGAGAGGCCGGAAGTAATCACGTTCAGGGATGATCGCTTGAGAGATTTATTCGCACCAAGCAGAGGCAGAATTGAATACGATGTAAACTCCTCAGTTAGGACTCCATTCGAGAGAACAAAGCGTCGAGCAGAGATGGTGATTGAGAAGCCGGGAGAGAATGGATTTGGGAATTAATGTCGTGGTTCAATTTTAACACCAATAGGTAAGGTTTTGGGCTGGGTCAATTTTTGCATCAATTTTTCTCTTTGGGTTGGATAATTGAAAAGCACAATTTTTAATTTTACCAAAGAAAATGAAAGTGTTGGGCTAGCCCAAAATTTCAGTACACGACATTTTTTACGGCATGCAAAGAATGTATACCGTAAATATTCGATCTTTACGGCGTGCAAAAAATGTATGTCGTAAATATTATAAGTAATTTATCAATTACGGCATGCATTTACAGCATGCTGTAAATAGTCTATTTTTACGGCATCATTTTTTGCAAGCCGTAAACAAATGCCGTAAAAAGTTCATTTTGTTGTAGTGAATAAAAGTTTTCATTGACTTTGTTTAGAACTTGTTTGGAGTATTTTGTATAGGCTACACTGCACAATTAAACTCTTGTGAGGGGGTTTTGACTGCATGTGAGATTTGAGATGGTGGTTATTTGTATGAAGGGTTGACTTGGAATATAGAATGACTTTTAACTAGTTGACCTAAACTCTTGCAGATTCCATATAAGCAAGCAATTAATTGTACGTTATATCATCTCAAAATAATATTTTCATTTTCTCATCACATGTTTTGCATCATTTTACATAATTGTACACGTGCATATTTGTTTTTATTCATTTCTCTTAATGGTATTCATGTTTATATTACTATTTTTCCTTTGCTATTCACGATAAACGAGGGAAAAGATTATTATTTATTTCAAAGAATTGAGTATATTAGTTTCGGGAGAGGGGGGGGGAGGGGGGTTGGGAATCTTCGAAATTTTTAAAGTCTGATGTTGATATTTAACTAAGGAAAAGTCATAGTTATTCCTTGATACATGATTTATTGATTATATGACTAGCATAATTGAATATTTTGCTTATTGATATTATGTATGTCATGTTATGTGTTTTGTATAGTATCAATATCATTTTTTTTTTGCTAGTTCAATTATATATCTTAAGTTGTCATGTTTAGATTCTAAGTTATTTGATGCCCGTAGTAGTCTATGCATTTGTTTTATACATATTTTACCTGAGTTATTTATCTAGCTTAATTATATGCTTATTAGAAATTTATAAAAATTGGATTGGACCGGCCGATTTAACCAGAAAAACAGTGATCTGGCCTCTAATTTGGTTCGGTACCCATACATTAACCAGAAAATAAAAAATCGACTAATAAACCATCAACTTGGCCGATTTAACCGTGAAATGAGAAAACAGTCACAATTTTTTTTTTTTTTTGGTTTTTCAGGCTAATATATATATATTTTTTAGAAATTTTTTTAACTATCTTTGATGGACCACCCATTGTAATAGAAGACCCATTAATTAATTTATTTTTTATTTTTATTTTTATACAAGTGATTGTCCTTTAACTTCTTTTTAAAGGACTCTTCTTTCAATGTTTTAGTAATATTTCAATGTGGGATACTAGCTCATTTTTAGAGGAGACTCTTCTTCCAATGTTGTGATAATCTTATAATGTGGGATACTTGCCAATTGTCAATTCTAAGTATTTACTAATTTATTATTTTCATTAACAAATCATAACCCCTGACAAGATTTTAACTACAAACAATTTCAATTTGAACATATTAATTGTTAGTTTTGAGATTATAAAATAAATTACTATAATAAATCTAATTAACAAACATGGATTATATTTACTTTGAATAAAAAAACTAAAACTAGAAAATCTATTATAGTTATGATATTTTATAGTTTATTTGTGTATTTAATTTTCCATCTGGTTTGACATTAGTTCAACCCCAGTCGACCCTTTAAACCTCGACCCTCTTCTTTTTCTAGTTCAAGGCTCGGGTCGATTTTTAAAACATTGCTTATTATAAAGTTTCTCTTACTTTTCATGTGATATTCTTTTTTCATATATTTTAAGAAACATGTATGACAAGATTTGAGATAAAGTTGGGAATTGAGTCTTTTGGTAGATTGTTGTTGGTTGTTTTGATTTTGACTTTGAAAAAAAAAATTGTTATGAAATGTCGAAGTGGAGTTTGTTAAGTCCTGATTGTAATTGGCTTTATTTGTATCCAAAATCATGATTATTTGAGTTGTAATTTAAGTCAAAATAGTTTGTGGTTGGTAGAGTCCTAAAAGGAGTCGAAGACATTCAAGAAAATCAAGAAATGGAAAAGACAACTGCTCGCTGCATGCCAAGATGGCGCTCGAGTGCTTAGAACAAGTGTATCATCGCTAGCTAGGCGCAAAGATGGCGCTCGAGAGGCAGAGTCACCACTCACTAGGCGCTAGGGCGCGGTGTTGAGTGATGTATTTATCTAGCGAGAATCGTGATTCGATTTTAATTGTATTTTCCAATCTTATTTCACCCAAAACACTATCTACTATTATTATACAATCATAGATCCGTCCCAAATGATATTAAATCATTATTTCATTATATAGATCATATTATTAAAGGTTCAAAACATATCCTTAGATCTTTATATTAAACTACTTGATCATTGATTCATAAATTTATCCCCAAACATTGTTCTTTATTGGTTGAGCCTTCATTTTTGTCAAGGCAACATTCTTTGAAGATCAAATTTGTATTTCAATATTCTTTTACCTTAGGACAGATAGTGGCCTTAATTTTTGTAATAATGAGTTTGATCAATTTTGCAACAACACAAAGATTAGGAGACATAGGACAGTCCCCTATACTCCCCAATAGAATGGAGTTGCTGAGAAGATGAATAGAAACCTGTTAGATAAGGTTAGATGTATGCTTTTTAGTTTAGGTATTCCTAAAGTCTTGGGGCTTAAAGCTTTGATGATAGCTTCATATATTGTTACTAGAACTCCTTCAGGTGCTCTAGGGGATAAAATTCTTAAAGAGCAATGGACTGGAGATATTACAGATTATTCCATTTGAAAATTTTTGGATGTACTGTATAAGAAAATTGGAACCTAGGGCCCAAAAATGTGTTTTTCTTGGGATATCCTAATGGGATTAAAGGGTATAGGCTATGGGATAGAGAGTTTATAGTCTTTAAGATTATCACAAGTAGGGATGTTACTTTTGATGAGTCAAATATGCCCTGTCGACAAAATAAGGAACCAAATGGACTGACCAAGGTTGAAGAGAGAAGTAGAACTAAGCTACAGATAGAGCTTGGACTACCAACTGATCTTGTTGTAGCTGAATAGGTGGAGGAAGAAGCTGAAACTACTTATAAACCTCTAGATGTAGAAGAGGGCAGTGTTCAAGAAATTACCAACTAACTAAAGATAGGACTATGAGAGAAATAAGAGGGCCTATTATGTATAGAGACTACCTTTCATTTGCTAGTTTTTCTTATCAGGACTTAGTCTTTAAAGAACCAAAATCTTATAAAGAGGCTATGAGCAGCCAACAATCTGAGGATTGGCGGGTTGCCATGGAAGATGAGATGAACTCCTTAATAAAAAAAAATCAAACTTGGACTTTAGTTCCTAAATTTGAAGGTAAGGCACTTGTTGATTGCAAATACTTATTTAGTGTTAAGGAGGAAAATACTGAAAAGCTTCTTATAACATTTAAGACTAGATTTGTTGCTAAGGGATTTACACATAAAGAAGGCATAGATTATAATGAAAAAAATTTCCCCTATGGTTAAGTACGCTGCGATTATAATTATGCTTGCTCTTGTTACTCATTATGATCTTGAACTTGAACAAAAGGATGTAAAAATTGCTTTCATGCATGGTAACCTAGATGAAGTGATTTATATGAGACAACCACTTGGTTTTATTGATAAATCTAAACCTGAACATGTGTGTTTGCTAAAAAGATTTTTTTATGGTTTGAGGCAATCTCCAAGACAATGGTACAAAAGATTTGATAATTTTGTATCTACTATTGGTTTCATAAGAAGTAAATTTGACCACTGCCTTTAATTTAAAAGAGGTGATGAAAATGCTATTATTGATTTTATACTTTTATATATGGATGATATGATGTTAATTGGACAGAACATGTATGTTATTAATGAGATAAAAAGGTCTTTAAGTGCTAAATTTGAAATAAAAGATATAGGTCATGCTAAGAAAATTAGGGATGGAAATCATGAGAAAAAGGCATAACAAATTATTAAGTTTAAAGCAAACTGCATATGTAGAGAAATTGATAACTAGATTTGCTATGCATAATTCAAAACCTATTACACTTCCCTTAGCCAGCCATCTTAAACTAATTAAAGAGCAATGTCCTATAGATAAATCTTATATTAAGCAAAGGGAAAGAGTTCCCTATGCTAATGCAGTGTGATCAATTATGTACATTATGGTTTATACAAGGCCTGGTGTAGCCCATTCCATTAATACACTTAGTAGATTCATGGCTAATCTAGGACTTGAATATTAGGTTGCCTTAAAATGGTTGTTGAGATATTTGGATGGATCTTCACATTTAGGTTTAACCTTTAGTGCCAATAAAGAAAGTGTAGTGTTTAAAGATTTTGTAGATTCAGACTTTGTTGGAAATAGGGACAACAGGAAATCCACTATCTAAAATTAACAGTCTATAATCCTATTGTTATATATTCAGATAGTTAAAGTGCTATTCACATGTTTAAAATACAGTTTACCATGAATGAACCAAACATATTGGTGTTAAGTTACATTTTATTAAAAATGTAGTTTCTAAAGAAATCTTACTTCTTGAGATATTGCCACTCAGTTTACTCCAGCTGATCTGGGTACTAAGGTATTTCTCTAAACAAGTTTAAGTCTAGTTTGCAAATGTTGAACATTGATACTAGTTAATTTTGATGCTGTCCATGCATTAAACTTGGTGCCAACTGGAAGTACCAAGAAGCTAACTTTCATGGAAAGGGAGATACAAATTGTAGCTAATATGCTTCTTGTACGTGCATTGGCATCAAGGTGGAGAACTACTAGGCTGTGATGCAAGATCCATCCCAATAAGTAAGGCAATGATGAGAAGGGCTTGGCCCATATTCCTAAACTATTGCCCAATAAATTAAAGAAGACCAATGTGACACCTGAGCCCATATGCTAACCCTAATAAGAACGGATTTCATAAATGCGACTTTGGTTGTTTTACCTAAAAACTAAAAGTACAAGTTTATCTGCGCCATTGGATCAACTGATGCCTCAATCTCAGTATAGTATTTGGTGTTAATTGTAATTGATGGATGGTCTTTCATTTTACTTCATCTTCTCGAGGCTTTTCTAAACTGTTCTACTCTCTCTTTCTTTGATCTCTCTCTTTGTTGTATGGTTACTATTTAATCACCTTAGAGAGTGGTTTTTCTTTGTGAAATCTAGTGAAAGAGTATAGACATCTAATGGTAACATTGAGTGCTTCTGGTCCATAGAAGAGGCTGCACGTTTAAGTGGGTTTTTAGGTGAATCTAGGTTTTCAATGTTGATACGAAAGGGTATATTTGTTTTGAGCCTTTGATCGAGATATATTGATGTTCTGTAAATAGATTGATAAAATGGTATAAGATTGAGTCAATCTGTTGTTTTATTTCTATTTTTCACTGTAATACGTGCTCTTTTGAGATTTTTTTATTACTATTAACAAAATTAGCAAAACAAAATTGATGAACAAGTTATGCAATTCCTAGTATGTAATTAGTATAAATAGAAATAATTATTAATATGGTTTACAAAAAAGCTAAGTAATAATCATACTTTTGTATTAGTTGATTAGTGGGTTATATTTTCCGTAGCTAAATTTTCAGTTGAAGAATCGATATATACCTTACACCTTCCTTTAAAAAAAATAAAATAAATAATAATAGTAATAATAAAAAATAATAATAAAATAGATAAAAACAATAATAATAAAAAATAAGAGAAATAAATATGACAAAAATTAGAATTTTGAATTGGTGAAAATATTTACGTTTTACGCAAAGCACTGTAAAAAAGTTGATATCTTGCAGTGGACTGAAGTATTGGTGATTTGATCAAGTAAGAAGTGTTAGCAATCCATATAGTTCTATTCCGAGTACTTTAACCTAAATCATCCTAAGATGGGTTCATTCATGATCAAGTGGCAGGCGTTTAAGTGAAAGATCTTACAAATAGTAAATCAAGCTTAGCCCTTGTTTGAGAACCATTAAAATGAGCTTTTCGAGAAAAATAAGTTTTAAAATAGTGATTTTTTGGAGAATATGTTTTTAAAAAGTGTGAAAATATTTTGAATTTACATGCAAAATATTTTGTCGTAAGAATGTGTAGTTGAAAATGAGTTTGAATAAAAAAGTATTTTATTTTAATGATTGTCAAACACGAAAAATTTATGATGATTTCAATATAATATTGAGATTTTTATAGATTCGACTGTTGCTATTCCATCTTAAAATTTATTTATAATGTTTACGCTAAAACTTCATGCCATGTAAGATGTTCGGCTAGCTATAGCTTAAAAAAAGTTATTTTTATATAGCTTTTATTTCATATTGTTTTTCTTGCTTTTTACTTGAGAATATATAATTTCTCAAAACAAAAATTTTACTTCACTATCAAATTAACTATCTTTTTTATATGGTTCAAAAGGAAATAACTTATTTATGTTCAACTTTGACTGACAAAAAGTTTACTTTAAGATGATGATTTACTTATTTACTTACAAGGAAACATTCTAAACTTATAGAGTAGTCCATTACTTTGTATAATTATACCTTATCACATTTTTGTGATGATTCTATCTATGCCTCCATAATATTTTTTTAATTAGAAATATGTATAACATTCTCTTTTTTTGTACAAAAAAATTATGCAAATAACGTTTAGATTTTTTATAAGACAATATACTTTTTTAGGACTATTATTCCAAATGTCAATGTATAAATACTACGGGTTGATGTTGTGACGGGCAAAATAATTTACCAATGGAGGTTGTTTTCAATTCTCAATGCTGTGAAAATTTGCACTGATTTTAGTAGTAAATAGATTTTATTTTATACTCCTTTAATAAGGATCCCTATTTCCTTTTGTTAAGTACAAAGCAAGAACCAAATCTCTTTTTCATACAATATAGAGAAATCCATTTTGTAGATACCTTTTGTTTCTTTTTTCCCTCGATGTGCTCGAACAAGATTTCACTATGACTAGCATATATATGTAATTGTGTTTTCCTCTGCAACGCATCAACTTATTCCACGGCATATGTCCTCCATTTTCTTATATTGGGTTGTTGTGTCCCAAAAACACATTAGGTTTTTAAGAAATGGGTCCAGTATGCTTTTTCTGACGAGACTCCAGATCATCGCCAAGTGGTAGCCAATTAGCTGACAAGCCAACCATGCCTACATTCCACATCATCCTCTTACTCGGTTGAGGTGAGGCTACATATAAAGTAAACGAGGTGATTAATCCCTTCAGAAGAGGTATCATGTAAAGGCCGACCTCCATGGCCCATGCGAGGTGCCATGTATACTGTGGGACAAGAGTAGGCAACCAGGCTTCTCGTTAACAAAAGGCATTCCCCACTTCACGTATTCTCAAAAGATCTTTCATATAAGATCTACCTACAATTAATTGATGTGACATCTGTCATGCCCCCAAATTAACATTGATATCTATACACAACCTAGATATAAAATTTTACATATTTTTTTTCCAGTTTGTTAACTTCTAATCACCTGTGACACGATCATATAACATATTGAAATCCAAAATCATATCGCCATAATCCAACATATATATTCTGAGCTTATAAACATGTCTACATGCCATTTCAAAAGTATACTATATAGGATTTCAAAATTTAACCCAACAGATAGCAGCCTACAAAATAACCCTACAGGTCGTCATCCATGTACATCGAGCTCTGAAATCCTGTAGGAGCTCCACAGCTAGCCATGCTCTCTATGTAGTTCCATGCTCACTTACAATGCAAGAACTATATAAGCCAATGCTTAGTAAGCAAAATCATGCATGTCCTGAATCACTTAGATACGAGCTAATGGAGTTAACATATTATCTAGGAGGTAGATAAGTGGTCTTTAAATAGTTAAGGTCGTGCTTATTGCTTAAGGATTAAGGAATTTGTGGACTGCAACCACATCAAGCCATCAAGGTGAGTCACTAAGCAGGTGGTGGCTTCTTGCTGCAATATTTGATCTTTCTACACCTATATTTGGATTTTTTAAGCCTTATAAGATATATATATCCCTCCTACACGAGATCATGCCTTAAGGTTAAAGAAATTGAGTGTTAAAATGTCAAAATACCCCAAGCATAAGGTGTCTTCATGGCAGCAATACTTGACTTTCAACCATTATAGTTGGATTCATTTGTGACTTTTAAGATATATATCTATCCTATATTAAGTGTTTAGGGGGTATACATGAGATTGATGACTTAAGGTTGAAGAAATTGAGTGTTAAAATGACAAACATCCCAAGCACGAGGTGTACAAGCAAGAGGTGGTCACTTATAGTAAAAATCTGATTTTATATCTATCGTTGCAGGTACAAATCAAGTATCCTTGGCTTATTTTGACATGCTTACAATCCCTTTCACTTGTCCTAAGATCCCAAAGTATTTTATAGAGTTAATTTCTCAACCGTTCATTTAATTTCTTACCCGATTTCAACAATTCGCACCTCAATATTTATAATGTCATATGAGACATATA